GAGCTGGGTTCACATTGAGCCAGCAGCTGCTGCCTTTGTTTCCTCATCTGCGAAACGGGTTTGACGAGTCCTTCTCCCTCACAAATGGCAAAGAGCAAATCCCTACTGAATGTAAACTCATTTTGATCTGGACAACCTCTCCCCAAAGCTGTCCCATCATAATACGTCCTTAGACCCACGGGATGATCAAATCTGAACTCTGGATCAAAGATGATGGGCAGAACAATGTCTGTAGGTGTGCAAGATCCGTAGCATGAAGGGAAGCCGCCATGTGGGTGGAGCCAGTAGTGGAATTACCAATGGAGCTGCTGGTTGGGATACCAGGAAACATCTACCTCCCAGAATGTTCCTGGCGATGTACAGAGTGGGCACTTCTTTTCTGAACCCGTAACTAACACGTTCATGGGATCCAGAAGCACTTATAAGATGCAGGTAGTTTTGGCGAGCACTTGGCACAAGCTTTTCCAAGACACCTGGTGGGAAGTGGTATTGGGGGTGCGAGGACTGAAAGAAGATGGGGAAGAGCATTTTATCCTGATGTGCCCCGAGGCAGAGGAGACAGAAAAGAAAGACTTACCCCAAGATGCCATGGTCACCCAGTCCTACCTTACACAGTACCAAACCTATATAATCATATATGACCTGTTTCTTTGGGAAACAAAGATTTATGGAAAAATGACTGTTTGCTGATGTTACTAGCCATTCCTCCCTTCTACATCATTGATAAAATGTGTGTGTGTGTGTGTGTGTGTGTGTGTGTGAGAGAGAGAGAGAGAGAGAGAGAGAGAGAGAGAGAGAGAGAGAGAGAGAACACATACATACCATGACGCATGTGTGGCTGTCAAAGGACAGCTTGTAGGAGCTGATTATTTCCTTCCATCATGTGATTCAGGGATGGAATTAAAGTCATAGTCTTGTCAAAATCAACACTCTTTCACAACGTACATGTGTGTCCGTCTTTCCTTGTCATATGGCCAAGTACTACGCTGGACAAACAGACGGGGTCAGAAGTACCATATAGCAACTTCAGGCAATGTCTTTAAAAGATGGCAGACAGGTGGATCTTGCCACCCTTTCTCACTCTTCTGGAGTAGGTGAGCATGGCAGTGGGAGAAGGGGGGGGGGGGGGGGGGGGGGGGGGGGGGGGGGGGGGGGGGGGGGGGGGATGGAAGCAGCATAGAAACCTGAGCCCTTGAGACTGGGAACGGCCATGCCTGCACTGGATCATTCCTCAGAACGTTGTGTGTATGCGTGTGCATGTGTGTGTGTGCACACGTACATACGTGTGTACAGGTATGGAGGCCAGAGGTTGACGTCAGGTGCTTCCTTCTATTTTTGTGCATCTTGTTGGTTTCAGGACACACCTTCTCATTGAACATGGAGCTCAGCACTTCAGCTAGACGGGGTCAACAGGCTCCCAGGGCTGCCTCTCCTGTCCCAGGTAGCCCAGCACTAAGGCCACAGATGTGTGCTGTTGTCCCTAGCTCTTATGTGGGTGCTGGGATCCCAACTCAAAACCCCCACACTCCCACCAATCCAGCTCCCCAGCCCAGGATGTCTTCCTTCTGTAAGCCAATTTTACTGTCTCTTCATTACACACATCGGAACCTAATTCTTCCAACAGACACATCTTCTAAACAAGAAAGATTGGAACCATTAGAAAGAATGATTAAAGCAAGCCAACGCCAACAGAAAGGACTCTCGGGGTGACTGCAGGACCAGATGTTTTCATTCCAGATACCCAGGAAATAGGCTTTCAATCTTGCGTGCCCATTCAGAACACAGTAGACAAAACCCCCTTTCGTTCTACTTTATTTCTGAAAAAGTTTTGCTTTGTGCCTGGGGATGGACGTGTTTCACAGTTTCCTCTGGATCCTTGTAATTGCCTCAGCATGAAGGACTTCTCATGTTTTCAATCTAAATTAAATTAAAGACTTTTTGAATCCTGGGTCTCCACACTCCGTGTGGCGTCAGTGTCCTTTCCGTTCCTCACGGCTGGGAGCTGCTCAAAGGGAAGCAGCTTATGCGCCCATCACTTTTCCAGCCCGTCTCCTGGCTGGTGACCTTAGCGCCTTCTCTGTAACTGCCTACAGCCAATCACCAGTGTGTTCGTCTCACGGCCAGAGAAATTGGCTTGTGTCGTCACGCTGACGCTTCATATGGTTGATCTGGGCTGTTGTTCACAGCTGGCATCTGCTAAAGCCAGTCTCCGACGGATGATTTACCACAATTATCCCAGTTACCGGCTTTAGTCTGTGTCTCACATCCTGAATCTCCAGGAAATCAAGGCAGACCACAGGAAGCAGAGCTATTACCCAGTCGGGGCTTTGTGTCTTCTTATATTTAGATTTCACGGGGACAGTGACTCTAGAAGCCGTGAGGCTTCACATTTCCAACGCATCTGCCACAGGCGGAGTCGTGACTCGGGATTATGGGAGGAGGGGATACGACCACTGTGTCCCCTCCCTGATGTCATTGAATCGGCCGCAGGTCCCTCTTTCCTGTCTAGCACACCCAAATAACAACTTCACAGGAGCAGTCTGGGAAGCCACACCTGGGATAATCCTGGGGCAGTGAGGGAATTTTTGATCCAGCTCTCTGTAAGGGTGTAACAGTCTTGCCAAGGGAGCCAACAGGGTTAGTGGCTATGGAGATGGGCAGACATAACTCCCTACGGTTCTGGATAAGGGTGTTACTTCTTAGATCCTCAATGTCCTTGTCTGTAAAATGGGAATAATAGGTCTCACTTCTCCAGCACATGCTGAAAACTGCAAATACATGCACATGAAGACACGTGGTGCTTAGTGCAAGCTAGGCCAACACTGACCATCAGCTTTACTGTGATGATGGCTTTCAAGACTCAAAGTGGTCTTATTTGTAGTCAAGGATGGAGACTTTGAGACTCTGAAGTCTCCCTTAACTTTGACACCACCGGGAACTGGGTTTGCAGAAAGAGCCCTCCTGATATGGACTGTATGCTCCCAGCTCACGGAGAAACAGGGCAGAAGACATGGACATTCCCTGCGAGGTAAATTGTGAGGCTGGGCAGACTTTGTAGCCACGTTAGCAGTTAGGGTTTCAGCCGAGGGTGTCTTCTCAATCCACATGAAGAACTTCCTAAGCAATAGGCAGATGGTTTCTTTGTGAGGGGGAGAGGAGATAATTGGAGAGTAGTCCCTTAAAGATGCAACTGTATATCCACAGAAACTAATTCTGTAGAATCTTAAACCCGGTTCAGAAATTTCTAGGGATGCTATTTGTCCTAAATCATCTTAGATGTTCTATGTGGACTTTACTGGTGCTGGGCCACTGGTGTTTGTTCAGGCCTAGCCCAGAACCCCTATTAACTTCAGCCACCTCCCTCCTTGTGCAGTGAGGTCTGGACTCGGGATCTGGGCTCAGCGTGTTGGCAAACTCTAAAATCACGAGTGCTGTGTTTTCCGCCCCGCTTGGAACAACATGAGGACAAACACTATCCCCACCATCTGTCTGAACCGGCTGGTACTGGTTTGGACAACAAGCAGTGGGACTTTTTAACAGAAAGAGAAGCAGAAAAGCACATGGGGCCGAGTATAGAACCCACTGCCCAGCCACAGCACAATGGCGAGCTGGCTGGAAAGGGTGATGGCAATCCTCAAAACTCAAGGCAAACTGGCCTTTAACTTCCAGAACTGACCCCAAAATGGGAGTTAGTCTACCTGCTCCCTTGATGGACAAGAAAACAGGCCTGTGTTCTAATAACCCTGTAGAACCTTGGACAAATTGTTTCACAAATCATGACAATAATGTCTAACTTAAAGTCTTGTAAAATTAAAAGTATTTCAAATAAGAAAAAGAGGGGCGGAGCTTATTCAATAACTATTTTGAGACATGAGGGTAGACTAAGACTTACTTATCCTAAACCAGAAAATCTTGGTTCTTTAGTCTTTCCTCCCCCTTGACTGTGGCCTCTGGGGATTTCTTATCTTCTATGTTTGTGGGGTTTGTTTCATGGCTAAAGTGGGGGAAATAATGTACACTCTCTTCCTAAAATTTCTTAAAAGATCAGATGAATTAATGTATGATAGCGCTGTGCAGCCAACAGGTCACAATCACAAGTGTCAGGGAAGTATATCCCTCAGTAAACAAGTTGCCCAAACTCACAAACCATGTGTACAAGAGATAAGATGTAGGCATTTACCATAGTCCCCACTTCTTTAATGGTAGAAGATACATTCTTTTGGTTTCAGGAGTTATTCATAGACTCCAGGCTTCAAGAACCCAGCAATTTCATCTTCAACACACAATCATCAGTTACAGGGTCAGTAGTACCAAGCATTTCCTGAGAATGCACACGAGATAGCCCAGAAGGCACCAAGCACCTTGAAGGAATTAAAATTAATGGCAAGGCTATGCAATGCCCCAGTCTGGACTCTCCAGTTCTTCGGGAACCTTCTTCCTCTCCTCCTGGTCATTTCCACGTGCCACAGTCAGTCTTTCCTGCGCTCGCTCTGGATGTCCCCTGTTTCCTGTGTGCTGCCATTCTCAACAACACACAGGGAACTCAAGAAAACTCAACCAGCCCCAGCTCTAGGTCCTGCCGTTTATTCTGCAGACCCATCTCCAGCACTGCAGAGATGAACCTGGCTACGGCCCTGCTACTGTGTGGAGAATCTATCCCTCCCACCCTGAAGCTGGGGTGCTGGAGAAAGGCATGTCAGGGCAGATGGCTGAGGCCAACCTGCCAGGTTCTCTAACTCAAAGCAAGTGTAGCAAGGACAGGATATGAGAGGGAGGAGCGGTGGTCCCCAGGAGGGCAATGCCAGAGGGGCTCTCAGTACATAGTTGGCCAGCTTGGAGCCAGGAGCTCTGGCCTCCTAATGAATCCCCAGAGATCAAGGCCAGCCCTGGACAGCCTCCAACGCTGGCTGCTCCAAGTGAGCCTTGCAACTTCCTGGCAGGCTGGGTGTGTAGCCTGGTCGCCTTGACCACCGAGGGAGAAACCTTGGGAACGTCTGCTTAGGACGCTGTGCCGCTGGGTCCTGGAGTGATACCTACCACCTGGGCTTGCTCCCTTGCCTTTACCCTCCCTGACCTGGGGATTCCGGAGCATGCTTGCCCAGAGCCCTCAAAGTAGCCCTCTGCTCACAGCACACCTTACTGTTTTAACTACATTTCTCAAGCCGAAGTTGCTAACGAGGTTGGAGAAACGGGTGAAAAGGAAGACAGTGGTGGCGCTGAAGGAGCTGAGCCAGCAAACCCATGAAACTAAATGCCGACGGGAAAGGCTGCTGGAGGACAGCAGGCAGCTACTGGAGGAGAAATACCGTGTGCAGGCCGAAAACCAGCTTTTCCTGGAATACCTGTGTAAGAACAAGGAGCAGTGTGAAAAGAAGCAGGAGGCCCTGCGGAAGCAGTATGCTCAAGAATGTGGCGAAATAGAACAAAGGAGACAGGAACTGGCGTCCAGATATGCCCAGAGAAACTCAGCCCTTCAAGCCCAGCTCCTGCAGGGCAAAAAGACCCAGCAGGATTTACAGCAGCAGCTGCAGGCACTGAAGATTGTTTACACCATAAAGGAGTGGCAGGACAGGAAGATACAGACCTTGGAGAAGGAGAAAGAGAAAATCCGAGGTGAGACAGCGGCCAAGGACCGGGAAGCACACATCCAATTTCTGCGGGAAAAGGCCCGGATGGAGAAGGAGCTGGAAGAGTTGCGCTTGATGGAACTGGGACAGAGCAGCACCAAGGGGCCTAGGAGGGAGTACAGGGCCTTGGCGCTGGCCTGCAAGCAGGCTCATTTCGAGTTCTGTGACAGCCTCCACAGAGAGAACCAGCAGCTACGGAAGGAGCTTCAGCAGCTGAGTCAGGAGTACCGCAAGGTGGAGGCTGTGAGAATCCGTTTAGAGAGAAGGCAGCAGCTGGTGAAGGAGGAGCAGTGGTATCTAGAGGCCTTGATCAGAGGGCGACAGCGGCTGCAGGCAGGACGTGAGCGCCATCGTGGTCATAATCCGTGCCTCAAGGAAGAGCATGCTTCAAAGACCATGCTGAGCCCCAAATCAAGAACAAATTAAAAGTAACAGCTACCATAACTGACTAAGGAATCTGAGCACTGGAGGTAATCTATAATCAAAGCATCCATCATGGAGAATGGAATTGCGCTTTCATGATGGGCAGTTGTCGCAATATCCGGTTGTGCTCCTAGTCTGAGGTCCACATCCAGGCCCTCTGCCCCCTGGGCTGTTGTGGGTTCCAAAGATTTAGAACATTTGGAAAACTTTTTTTAAAAATTGTTTTTGTTTGTTTGTTTTCTTGTTTGTTTGTTTGTTTGTTTTGAGACAGGGTCTCTTTGTAGCTTTGGAGCCTTCCTGAAACTTGCTCTGTAGACCAGGCTGGCCTCGAACTCACAGAGATCTTCTTGCCTCCCGAGTGCTAGGATTAAGGGCGTGTGCCAACAACACCTGGCTTGGAAGACTTTTTAAAGAGTTGTGCCACACATTTTTATAGCAGCATTTGAAATTCTCAGATTGCTCATTGGCAACATGTATTTTAGTTCAACCACACTTATTTTTTTTTCTTAATATGTACTTTTTAGTCACAAAGTGAGATATATAATTCATATGTTCTATGTATTTTTTTCCCATTTGAAACAGCTAGGAGTCATATTTTAAACTGTAGGGCTTTGCTGTTTGTTGAGAGGGTTGTATCCTTGCATTTGTTGAACTGTGGTCCAGGAGAATGGTCACGTATTTTGTTTGGCAAGGCTCCTGCATGGAAAAATGTGGTTGGCTTTATGGTTCTCAGAAATTATTGGTAATGAAAATTTTTAAAGTAACTTTCTAGAGTTTTCAGCTTTATTGATATGTAAGTGGATTTGTTTAAAATCGGATTAAAAGGGGACTTCACTTTTCAATGTGTCTTATCATTTAACATTGCTGATGAAATGTGTGCTTTTCCATTAGACAGTAAAAACAAAACCTACTCTTGATAATTTCTCCCCCCCCCAGCTTTAAAAATGCAGTATTTCTACGTCTATGTGGTATTTCTATAGAGTATTCATTATGTCTCATCGTATTATTATCACCCGTCGATGAGGTGATAGAACATTTTCGTGATGAGATGAAATGGGGAAATGACGTAAGCAGCATGGCCCAGAGTTAGGTCACTACATCATGGTAGAAAAAAGGCTATGTAAAAGTAAAACCAAAAGTTTGCTTTTGAGTTGAGAGAGGGTGGTTTCAGGTGAATGGTAACGGGAACTGCCCCCCCCCCCCTTGCAGCAGCGAGGGGGAGAATGGAAATGGTCTCCCAGCAGCTGTGTAAGAGAAGCACAAGGATGCAGTGAGATAACGGTTCAATTGTTCTGCCTAACGAGATGACAGAAATTACTAGATGACAGGAAGCTAAGCGGTATGGTGGGAGACTAGAACTTACAGAGACCATTCTTCCTTGTCTACCATGACTTAATTTAAATCTGTTTGTTAAGAATTTTTGTTGTTTTGTTTTCTAAGCTCTAGGGTAAACAGGAAGAGAGAGTTATTTAAAAAAAAGAGGGAAAAAAGAGAAAAATAAAAAAATAACAAAAAAAGAAGAAAAAGAAAAAAAAGAAAGTAAAAAAACAAAGAGGGAAGGCAACGTTGTAGCAATCACTGAGCAAGGCAGAGAGGATGGCGGTGAGGGGGACATCAGTGGGCAGGAACACTGTCCATTTTCCTAAGATGCCATCATGCCATCATTGTCCGTGGTGCCAGTGGCCCCTGCCCTGGGGGTGTTTGTTGGAGAACAGATGCGGAAGAGTGGAGCCCACAGTGCTGACAGGAGCAGTCCCGTCAGACTAAATACATTCCTTGAGCAATTTCCCTGATGAGACAATGTATACCATTCTCAAAGCAACATTTTACAGAAACTCAAAATCAAAACCAGATGCCCACTCTGTGTTGTCAAACACTTCTCAGCTAGAAATTACTCAGGCAGAATTACTACTGGGATATTCAAGAGGGAAGGAGAGTAATGCTTTACTGTTGTGTGGAATCTCTGGTACTGTAACAAATAACCGAGACAAGCAATTTAGGAAGAGAAAAGGGCTGATGTGGCTCACGGTTTTGGAGGCTGTAATCTGTAATACCCTAGTCCCATTGCTTTTCAGCCTGTGGCAAAGCTTGCATCATGGAGGAAGCACGAGGCACAAGAAATGTACTCTGAAGACTGAGACAGGATAAGGAAGAAGCTGAGGTCCCTCTGTCCCCTGCAAGCCTCCCCTTCTCCCAGTGACATCTTTCAAAGGTCCCTTGCTTCTCTTAGGTCTATGGTCTAGAGACCAAGGCTTCAATATATGGCATGCGTGGTCACTGGTTATGTCACTTGATGTCTGCCACTTTCTCAGTGCCAACTAAGGAAGCCCTGCCTGAGGCACCGGTGAGGGATAGATAACTGGCCTCTGCCCATCCAACCTCCACACCCAGAAATTTCACCCTGCCTGTGATTAGAAAGAATTTTGTGCAAGTTTTCTGTTTCAGTTTCCTCAGGGAAACTTTCACACCCTCTGCCTTCAGTGCCTAGAGGAAGATGCTAGACCACCCTGGGAGACACACCCTTCTTCCCTGCAGGGAGGCAGAGCCTGGTGATAAAGCAGAACCAGAAGCCAAGCACAGAGACTGACTTAAAGGGATGCTGGGCTCTCAGCCAGTGACAAAGCCTGTGAGGGACCAGTCAGTCTATTTTCTGGCTCTGACATGCCACAGATTAACTCCACAGTCAGAGTCCCCATAGGAATTGTCCTGTTGCTTTATTTTGGTCAGGTGCCACGCCAGAGGGCAAGAAGTCCGGGAGAGTGACTGTTGGGGTGTCAGGGCTTCTGAGCTGACACTTGGGTATCCCTCTGAATTGAGAGGTTTCAGAAGATAGATTTATGAAAATGTAATAAATCAAATGTCCATCAAGACACCATGTAGCCACTTATGGTTTTTCTTACCCTCAGCTCTAGCTCTTCTGCCATGTTCTTTTGAGAATAAAAAGGGAAAGAAATAAAAATTAAAATTTAATTTGCATATTAAATTCTGCAGTTCAAAACTTGGAGGAAACCCCACACACCAGGGGACTCCATGAATGAACTCTAGTTATTTTCAGGAAATCTTACCATTCTGAAAGTTAGGGCTCAAGGCCAGGAGATGCAGAGTTCACCCTTCCACCATTGGGTTCCTAGAATCTGGAAGAGGGATAGTTCACGTTTAAAGTCAAATAGAATCAGTGTGGTGGTTGGAAAGAAAATGTCCTGCCAAAGGGAGTGGCACTACTTGGAGGTGTGACTTTGTTGGAGTAGGGATGGCCTTGTTGGAGGAAGTGTGTCACTGTGGAGGTGGGTGTTGAGGTCTCATATATACTGAAAATACTGTCCAGTGTTTCAGACTACTTCCTGTTGCCTACAAGATGTAGGACTCTTAGCTACTTCTCCAGCACTTTGTCCGCCTACATGCTGCTGTGTCCCCCCATGATGATAATGGACTGAGCCTCTGAACTGTGAGCCACCCCAATTAAATGTTTTCCTTTATAAGAGTTGCCAAGGTTGTGGTGTCTCCTCGCAGCAATAGAAACCCTATCAAAGAGCACGCGGGGTACACGTTTTGGTCCTTTCCCTCTAAATCTCATATCATTTACTTAATATTTCCCAGCCTCTAGTCTCTCATTTGCAAAATAATAAAATTGCTCAAAGTTAAATAGGATAATGCATGTAAAGTAGCAGGCAAATTATTGTTTAATAGATGTTCCCGGTCCTCCCTCTATGGAGTTAAGATAAATAAGATTCCTATTTGTGCAATAAGCTAGCTTGCATATATTGGTATAATCTTACATATTAACAACTATTTTATGCAAGCCTTCTAAATACTGCTATGAAAAAGCACCTATAATAATTTTTAATAAGAATCTTAAATGAAATTATTTTGTTACAAAGAGCTTTTGTTTTAAATGGATAGCATAAAAGCTGCCAAATAGGATTTTATTAGGGCTAAGTAACTGATAGCATTTGATTTCTGAGCTTGAAGAGATAGAGGTAAATTGGTTTTTGTAAGACCATGGGCCTGTCATTAGGTTAAGTGTTTGATGTTAAATTTTTACCATGCTATTTTACCAATATGGAAATAAGAGGCTAGGGGATATTAAAATATGCCACCCCATAGTAGATGTCCATTAAACGTGAAAGTACACTCAAACTACATCCATAAACTTCTCTTTTTTGCCTTGGTTGTGGATGTCATGCAAAACACAATGGGTGTGACAATGCACAATAGGTAAGCAAGTGGCCTTGGTTGGGTGGCCTGTCCCCATTTCACAGACCTTACCAGTAAGGAGAACGTGGGCTCCGAGGAGTCAAAGGCTGCTACAATACAACAGTGTGTGTAATCTGTATGGCATCTGATCCTCTGTGGGAAGTCCTTCTATATGTGGGTTGCTTTTATTGGTTAGTGAATAAAGCTGTTTGGGCCAGTGGCTTAACAGAGTAGAGTAGGGTGGGAATTCCAAGCAGAGATAGAGGAGAAAGAAGGCAGAGTCAGAGAGAAGCCATGCCATGTAGCCACCGCCGGAGACAGAGGCTTCCACCCGAGCCTGCCAGAACTTTGCCTGTAGGCCATGACCTCATGGTGATGCACAGATTAATGGAGATGGGTTAGTTTAGGATAGAACAGCTAGCTAACAATACACTTAAGCTACTGGCCAAACAGTATTGCAAATAATATAGTTTCTGAGTGATTATTTGGGGCCTAAGTGGCCAGGAATGAATGAGCAGCCTCTGCCAACAATCCTCTTATTCTCCCAGGCCCATGGTGGAGAAGAGGTAACAGAGGGGAACAACAAAGGGAGACACCACGCAGCATGGATATAACCACTCTGATATGTTTGTTGTAAGGGCACCTCTGGGAACTTGCCATCCTCCCTCCAAGAGAGTATAGTCATCATCACTCGGAAAGGCAAAGAAGTCTTCCTAAGCAGAGGGAAATCTGGCTTTCTCCTGTCCTGCCTGGCTTGAACATAAATGGATTTAAGTAAACTAGCCATCAAGACCCATATGTGAATAAAAACTGAGAGACCCAGAGACTGTCTTGATTCCCAAACCATAATGAGATGGTAATACACCAACCTTGTTTGTTTTCTCTGCCTTCATTAAACACATGTCTCCTCATTTATGTGCTCATTCAAAATTAATCCACTGACCAGAGATGAAATCATCAGAGTCTCTGGTCCCCACTGGAGGAATCTTTCAAGTAAGTAGAGGATGCCATGTGGAGCTAAGGATGTAAGGGCCTGAAGATGGCTCCTTGGGAGATGGATGATCTCAGGCACAGAGACTTTTCCAGTCCCATGACAACAATTAAGTCTGCTTCTTTACTAAACAATATTGAATGTTTTGCTACATATTAAAATGGCATATATTTACTATAAAATTGTTTGAAGTCATGCAAACATTTTTAAAAGAGTTAATCACTGCTGTGGTTTGGGTGACTGGCCTTCACAGATCATTTCTGTCACCACCAAAGGGAGGTAGAACCCAGTAGCCAGGTGAGGTAACACATGCCTGTAATCCCAGCATTCAAGAGGTAAAGGCAGAGGATCATGAGTCAGTTTGAGGGCTCCACAGCAATATANCCTTATAGTAGTTTGAATCAGATGTCCCCCCATATTTTGGGGCATTTGCAACTTGATCTCCAGAAAGTACAACTTACAACTGTTTGGGTAGGCTTATGGGGTGTGGCTTTTCTGGAAGAAGTACATCACTGGTGGCCAAGGCTGGAGGTGAGGGGGTCAGGGGCTGCTTTGGCCATTGTCAGCTCCACCTCTCTCACTGCCTGCTTGTGGTTTTTTAAGATATGAGCTCCCCATTGGTGCTCCAGCGCCAACAATAGCGATCATAGCATCTCCATTGTGATGGGGATAAACTCTCTC